TCAAAGTTTCCTAAAGATCGTCTTCCCTCTTAAAGATATTTCAAAGTATGCGGACAGGTGTTACATTCGCGCAGAAAATCTTGGCAACCCTCGGCACTTCACTGTCTCCGAGAAAAAAATCATATTCATCTTTTGGAGACAAATCCTAGCGGTTCGACGTTCCGGAAGCAATCTCGTTTGACAGCTTACTGTCGCCCCCGCGCCACAATTCGATATGTACCGTACACACGTACGTACACGACCGCGTTACGTGAGCATATCAGACCTCACAGAAATTGAATCAGCAACGGTCGGAGGAATTCGTAAACGGAAACGCGAATCAACGGCGCGCTTGACGCTCCTCTCATCGACGCGCGATGCTTCGTTGCTAAAAGACAATATCGGTCCGTTCGACAAATCAGCGCGTATCGTGGTTCAAAGAAGCGTCCAACTGTCCACCCTTACACACACATCTTAAAAATTTAGAGACAGAACATTTATAGATAAATAAATTGCGTTTTCAAAAAATTCCCTTGAAATTAAGCAATTATAATTAAATCAATTATAATTAAATAAACTGCATTAAATAAATGTAATTTAAAATGTATTAAAAGAAAATGAGTGTTTTAATTTAAAAATTTTGTCTTTCAAAATAAATCCGAGTAAATTAAAATAATACTGAATTATACGTTATTTGAATAAAAGTAAAATTAAATTAAAAACCAAATATTCGTGTATAAGATTTAATATGACATGATAAAATGTCAGTTGTTACGTGAAAAATCCATGTCATTCTTAAAGGTAAAAGACTTTTAGTTAAAAGGTAAAATATTCTTTTTCTCTTTTTGCTTAACATAGTAGCATTTGATGTCGACTCCAGTCTTGGAATCTATTAATATTGACACACGACAATCGATTCTTCTCCTTTAACAGTCAGATGTCAAACGACTTTTAATATTTGAACACCCGGTATGTGAATGGCTTCGCTTGCACACACTACATCGAATTGAAGGGAGAGTAATGTAAAGTGCATCGCGCTCAGAAACAGGGAGGAAAAATGATCGAAGGATCCGAAAGGCGATTTAAAGCCACTCTCGTGCCGCTCACATATATTTACAATATTTACACGCACATACATCTCCTTCCGCCGATATATAACCGCGGTGCCTCGCCGTTACCAGATCCCGTCGATTTCTTAAGGAGCGGCTTTGAGAGCGAAATGGATGCCCGGATAAATCTAACGATGATGATGATATCGTGCGAAATATGACGGCGATTTGTTGGAGATTGAGAAAAACAGTGATCGTTTAGGGGAGCGGGAGCCTTTAGTCTTTTGATCCTCTCGACCCGGCGAACTCGTATATTTCACTCGGTGTGTCAACGAAGCGAGAAAATTCCGCATTATAGCGGATCGAACAGATTTTCGTGACAGACGTATAACATCTTCTTGCGCGGATAAAGGCCAGAAAAACGCATATACATGTCCGCGGGTATATTCAAGCATTTGCAAAAAATTGCGCAAAAAAGGGATTCATAAACTTTATTAAATATAGTACAAAATAAAGCACTGTATAAAAATTGCCGATTTCGATTGTCTACCTGCAAAATCGCAAAATTGTAGAATTTTCTCTCTAAAAGCGATATGGAATTAATTTTCATTGAAATGGATATTTAAATTCAAAATAAATGTATTGCGCTAAAACGGCCGCGGGTCTTATTATTCAATTCGTTAAAGTAGTATCAATATTTTTTATTATTTCGACAAGACAGACTGTAACATTATTTTATCATTTCGAAACGGCACATCAGATACTGTGAATCAAGAAGAGAGGTGATTCGAACATCGTGAAATGTGGCTATTTTACTACCACTCTCAAGCTGAGAAAAAACGAGACTGAAGTTTTGACCATTCCCAGCCGTTCAATGGCGTTACTACGGTAATATTTTACGTCGACAGAAGAGAGGCGTTGTGTGCCGGTGGTCCTTTTGTTCCCATCAATTTATTGATGAGTTTGAACCGTATATTAGTCGATAATCCAATTCGTCAGTAATGCCCGCTGATGCATTGGTCGGATTATTATTGTTATTAAAACGTTTGACGTGCCAATTGGAAGCAACGTTGTTTTCATTCGGCTTCGAAACAACACTGTGATCTTTTTATTGCCATTCAAGATTTCTGTGTAAAAAGAATGCGATACATTTACTGCAATGTGATTTCTTATATATGTATATATAATTAAGAATATAATATAATAAATAAAACATTAGGTATATTAGTTTATATATATATATATATATATATATATATATATATATATATAAAATTTTGATGTTTATATGTATATACATCGTATATGTATATATAAACCTGAAACAAAGTAGCGTTGTTTAAATTTAATAGCTAAATATAGTATCAAGTTTAACAGCGTGATTTACGCCGAACACGTTCTATGGAAATATGCGAGTCGTAATGTGAAACTTAGTACTCTCGTCATTTATTACTTTTTGCGATGCAGACAAAGATCTCGCGGCGCTTAAAGCCTTTATTATAGCCAAATTGCGTGGCACTTAGCTTTAAACGTCGTTAAGCGTTGAGAGAACTCTACTTTATTTTACTGTTCCTCTGCAGGAAGAGTTGGGACAAGAGGCAGCAGAGGAGAACATGAATAGAAAACAGTAAAAGCTTCAGTATAATTGTTTCAACGTATAATCCTTTCTTTAATATTCAAAATCATAATCTAGAAACTAACTTGTGGCACAACTTCAACTATCATATTATTCTTACAAAGAAAATGCACTATTATATATGTAAAATATGCTGAAAATACAAGTAGACCAAGTCCAGTTTCGGAAAAAAAATTGAAATCAAGTCTCTAGATCTAGAGAGTTGCTTGGACACCTTAGATACCTCACCTTTCATAATCTAAATAGATCACGCACATTAGAAGGGTTTCTGCGCGCGGTCACTATTTCTTCGTATTAATCGCGCTTATTTTTTTTATTATAATAACAATTTCAAATTTGTGTTACTCGAAATTAATATGACGGGATTCAGTTTCTTTTTATTTTCACCGTTTTATGCGGCCATACAGACCTGGGCTTTTGAATTCTATTCGGTGAAACAAAGTCGAGTAAAACAGTGAGAGTAAAATCATAGAGGGTGAAATGGCCATTATTCAGAAGTTATTATCCTTCATTCTGCCGCAACGCTTGCTTAACTTATTCGATCCAACCAGCCGCCCTCTTATTTCGCGAGTCTTTCGTTGAATTATCTCCTCGTAAATCAATCGCGTCCGGCACCATCGCTCATGTTAGTTCGCCGTTATTATTATCACGCGCGTCCACACGTCGAGCGTGCGCCGAAATTACTGGCGGTTGAATGAAGAGAACGCGGAAAGAATATAAATGGGATTGCGTGAGAAAGAAGGGAAGACGAAGTGGAAGAAGGAGAGAAAGGAAGAAGAGGACAAGAGTCCGAGCCATTCTTAATTAACTAAAATACGCCGCAGGAATACTTCCTTGTCATTTTCTTTTTGTAAACTTTCATTAGAGCCCCGCTTGAGTTCGTTGCAGGTGTTACTCGGGTAATTTCCGGCGTTTTGCGAGTCTTTAACCGCCTCTCTTCTTCCCCCCCTCCCTATCTCACTCTCTCTCTTTTAGCGTCACGAAAAAAATTAATGATTTTGTGTATATACGATGCGTGTTTTCAGGTAAAATTGTTAGAAAAATTACAAGGAATTACACGTCTCCCTTCCCTTTTTGTCCGCTTCTGTCACGCGGGTTCATTTTTCTTCTGCGGAATTTCCGTCTCGAAGGAGACGTGGGGAGAATTAAAGTGAGCTGAAGTACTCACGCGCGGTATGAGTGCGGCGCTCAGATCAAAAGTTATTTTCTTCCTACGTAACGTTTATATGAAATATCGCCTTACAGTTCCTATCCACTTTCATTTCAGCGAGCTTGTGAGAAGGCTAAATGTATATGTTTAAACATATAAATATTTATTAGCACGCCCGTTATTTCAACTCAAAACGGCGAGTTAATACTGCACGTTATGTTATGGGTTTTCAATAATTCTTCTTTGGTGGAATAATTAAAATCAATTGCCACCACAATGGGTACCCCTTTTGACGTCAGTATATAGCACTATTTTCATATCGCCGTTTGAAATATTTAACTTATGGATGACGTAACAGACTGTTATCCTTGACCAAAATAATATTTTAAATTGGTTTTAATTGCAAGAAACATCAAATTTCCATTATTACGTCATTAGAAGCAGATATTAAGTAAATACAAGCATGTTGTTTACCAGTTTAAATAATGATCAAAATCATGTTTGCCGTTCACCCGTCTTGCTCACGCACAGATGTGATTAAATAATATTTTAATTAAAAAGTTAATTAAATGAAATAATTTCTTCATGGTCCGTACCAAACATGTTGACGTCATAATTATTTTTTTGACAAAGTAACTTTGCATAACAATAATGCATTCCTGCAAATCAGTTCTGAAACGGATCCGTATGCGATTCAAGTATAGTACAGAGTAGAAAAAGAGTATGAGATTCGTATCTAGATAAAATATATATTATTTTTACATATAGATAAAATGTACATGAAATATCCTTTCACATAATAATCTGTCATTCACGTTGCGAAAAATCGAGCGGCTCGACAGCACGCGATTTTTCGCGACGCGACACTGCGTTAAATGTATGTACGATATAATGCAGCCTCGCCTTCGGTCCCGCTTTGCTTATTATCCGGAGTGATGCATTGCTTTTCTACAATGCGAACATTCGCGGATTAGCTCGCGCCGGGCCGTGCCGTGCCACGCCGCGCCGTGTCGCGCCTTCGCCGCAAATACGACGGTGTACACACATTCACGCGTTGAACGTCCGTGTCCCGAGTCCCGACTCGCGAATACGATCGCCACAGAAGCGTGCAGCTCGACCTGTGCTCGTCCCGCCGATTATTCGTCGGCGGCAGTTGCCAACTTGCCAGTTGCACGGCGGGCGCCGACAAGCGCGGCCGCGCCAGTCCCGAATTCGCGCTCTCGCTTAAACATTGTGTTCACGTGTCCGGTTGCGGATTTACAATTTACACATTCGTGTCTAATTTTCGCGTTGATATCAGACACGAACTCCACGAAACATTCATCCTGAACGTACGAAAGAATATGTAAGAAATATGTATATCCGGAAACAGACGAAACGTGCGTTTAACATTGATATAACAGTACGGACAGTGAAACTTCTCTTGGCCTCTTAACTTGCAAGTTTATTATAAGTGCCGTCGTGGTACATATGTCGTCGCATATGTAGTTGCACTGTACTTTGAATTCATTACCTGCGTTGTACACGTGTCGTTCGCGCAAAGAATCGGAGCTATACAGAATATATGTATATATAAGCATGCGGAAATTCCTTCTTGAAATGTTTTTAATAATACGATATCTAGTTAATAATTCGATTTTATACACATTTACTCCAACTCTCGCCTGTCATTATCTGTGCACGAAACATCAATAAATGAATTGTTCCATCCGATGGATAAAAATACGCAGTTGCAAATTCGGAATTCTTCTCATATTTATAATTTAATTTTATTTAAACGTTTTGCTTTTTTTAAATCACATTTCTTTATATTTATATCATTTTATAATTAATTTATATGTTGTATTAATAATTTTTTACGTAAATACGTTTCTTCTATAAGAATGTAATTTATTAAATCTAACATTTGTGTTGAAAGAGAGACAACAAAGCCTTTCTTTTATTAAAACTTTTATATACCTTTCTGTTATCGTATAATGTTATCATAGTACAAATATAAGTGCTTCTATCAGCGCAGGGAGCCACTACGGCCAGCTATGGAAAGAAAACATTAATATCATAGATCTGAGAAATGAACAATATATATTGCATAAAGGATCGATCGTATCACGATATGTTGGGCATTTTGAATTTATTTAAATACTTACATCAGTCCGTTACTTTTGAAATAATGTAGAAGCTAATTCATAGAAAACCACATAATTTTATCGCTGCGATACATACTCCCGGATTTATGTCAAAAGATAATGTGAGCAAGAGAGAGAGAGAGATAGAGCGCGCCAAAAGTTGGATCAATTAAAGTACTGAGGATTTAGCTGGCAGTTCAAGAAGGAAATTCCGACAAAATGACTTTTACGGAACGGAAGGTCGAATTACCGGGTCTGAATTATTTTACACTCGCCTCGTAATTGGCTTTCAGTTGGAATCGCGCGACATTATATCCACGTTTCGCCGACATTTCTGTCGTCGCGTCGTCGTGCCGACGGATATCTCTTGGACCGTATATTTTCTCTGTTTTCTTCGAAATCCATCAGCCCGCAGTATTTCACGATTTCGGGGCGGACGAAAATGGATGGAAAAATTGTCGGCTACCCCGGGTAAAATCACGGGGTTGCATCTGCACTTCGTCTCGCCTTTCGTGCCGTCCCGGTAACAATAACAACGCACTGACGATAATGTATTGCGTTATCCCGGGTGATTATTTTCACTCGCGAACAAATTTTCGAGCACTCCCACGGTATTATGAAAAATTGTCACATTATTTTATCCTTGTTCTACGCGTAAATTATGTCTCGTATAGAATCTGTTATCGTATGAACAAACGTTTGCAAAAATTAATTAAATTGTTCGAACTTTAGCTTTGTTACGTTTCGTTTATATTAATTTTGTACTGACTTTTACACTTTGTCTCAAAGAACAAAAAAATATAAAGTGTAAAGTTATATACCGTACATCAAAGTGTTAACAGTATTAGTAGTATTTACAAAATTTGCCAAATATATTTTTATTTTTTTTTATACATTTTCAAACGGCCGACAGTATACGAAATAAGTTTTTGTTCCGATTTTCGTTCCTACGAAGGCAGCATCGCGCGCATCGACTTTACGAAAAAATCAAGCCGAACTGAAAACAGTGAAAACATTGATGATCATAATTAAATTTTACTCGCTCCGCAGAAGAATATTTCGATCATACGCGTATCGCGCGAATCGAAAACATTATCGAGTTACTCAAACCCCGTAGCGAGTCGTATTTAATTACATTCGTACGGGCAAAAATGTTAATTAAACGCAAACTTTCCCGCCCCCGTGGCGAGGAAACGTAATTAAAATTTCGTCGACAAATCTCGCCGACGTGATTCGCGAAATATTTCCGCGCGGATCGGAATCGCCCCTCGCCCAATCGTGCAGGGAGTCGCGATTTCCGCGGATTTTTTTTCCAAGTTCCTCCCCGATTGTGTTTTCAATATTTTCCCCGTTGCGAGCGCGGAGGGCGGAGCTTCCGCGTCGCGCGCGACGACGACGACGACGGCGTCTCGGGACTCTCGGGCGATCTGCATTTCGAATCGACGCGCGTCCTACTTCGGATGCGATCGTAAAAGGGCAGCGTCAAGTTTTTTCGCGGTGAAATTGGGGACGCATCTGCGGCGCGCGTCTCGTCCTCCGCGAGGTTTCCCGCTTCTGACGCCCGCTCCGCTCGCGCACACCAACGCGGTTCGCGCGCGAAAACACACAGCCCAAGTATATACGTACAACGTCAACAGGATACACAGCGCGGATACAGACGCACATACACACACATATACGTACACACGCGCGCGTACACTTTGACGCGGTGCACGTTGCAGCGCCGCGTATTCCGCTGCCGCAGTTGCATTGCGAACGTCTGTGAAGGCGCACGCGAAGACGCGTCCGTCTGACGCGTGATCTCTCGGTACGTGGGTGGCTGGACTATATTTAAGCACTAAACGATGCCGAGATTTATGCGCGAATATACAGGGTGCTCGGTAAAAAGTGTGCAAACAGTGACAAGGTGATATCTTTGTATTGAATTTGCTCCTTTATTCGGAGTTTTGTTCTCTCAGAAAGAGAGAAAATAATCGTTCAAGAGATGCAACTCCATTTTGCAATTCTTTCATTCTTTTTTTTTTTGTTACTAAATATTTCCTCGATTGATCTACTAGTCGAAAGAGAGTACTTTTGTTCATTTAATTTTTATTTATATAATTTATTATATTGATATAAGAATTCATTCGTGCTGTCGGGGCAAATTTTTTTTATCTTTATATAAATTCTCTTTCCGAAAATGTTGATTTCATGGCGTCGAAGGATGTAATCTTATTACAATTTTATGCGTGTTGTGGAACATCTGGTATATCAATATCTTGGAACGACCAATACTGCAGCCTGCAAATACAAGGAAGCAAATGTGCGCGCAGGTATATAGATATCGTTTTGGAACAAGCTGTAACTAAACGATATATGTCATTTGTTTTCGTTCCAAGATATTATTTATTGATAAAAGTCTGTGTCCGCGACTCCGAATTGCACATCTCCCGACTTAGATCTTTTAATCATACGACAGAAATTGTTGTCCCGGTGAAACGTACATACAGTTACATATTTAGAGCTCGAAATGTTGGAACACGCGGAACACGCCGGTAAAATTAAACAGCCATGTCGAGCGCGAAATTCGCTAATCTGATCCAGCAGCTTTTCTTTATCTGCATAAAATATTTACGGCACATTATTTTAAAATCCTACTAAAATCCTGAGCTTAATTGACAACCATGTTTAGCACTAAATAAAGCAGTGAATAAAACAAAGCATCAAATGCTCGCGTTTGTTAATTATGAATTTAAAAACAATGATTTGTTATTACAATATAATGCGCAAATATGTAACCTTCTGTAAGTTAAAAAATAAAGCATCTGTTTATTAGACACTCATCCTAATAGTTTAATGGAAACGTAATTTTGAAAAAGACGCTTACTATGCCTGATCTAAAATTTTGATAGTTCGAGTTCGCGTTATCATTTTTGTTAATACCAGAGAATTTTTAACGATTTTAATAAAATCATATCGATGCCAATATTTTGTGGCAAAAATTTACGTCATGTTGTTGCGACGAATTTAATTCTACTTTCCCGCTGTATACAGAAATTGGGTACTGATACTATCGCGCGTATCATAATTAATCCCAAGTGCATGAATTTAATGATAATTTCGTGGTTATACAATATGATTAGACTCGAGTAAATTGGACAAATTTCACACGTACCTACGGTTCGATATAATTGGCACGATAGTATTGTTATCGCGTCTCTCTTCCGGGACAGATAGCGAGCGTTGATTTTCGGTTATTTTACATAAAGACATATTCGGTTCGAGATAACGATAATAATTCAACTACCATCCCGGCGCGCTGCAAATTAAGTCACGATGAGACTTGGATTACCCAACTTCGCGAACGTGAGAATCCCCTTATGTCCTCCGTTCTCTTTCTGATATTAACAAAAACGATAACGCGAACTCGAACTATCAAAGTTTTAGATCAGGCACACTGAACGTCTTCTTCAAGATTCATTATGCTATTAGACGGTGTCTAATATCGAATAAACAGATATACGTAACGCTTTATTTTTTAACTACATTTTATAACAACACGATGTAAATTATAATAGATAATAATAATAATAATAATAATAATAATATTCGAGATATGTTTTACACGATTTTTATAATATTGTAGATATGGATAATCGTGTGCAGATTGTTTCTCCCTCAAAAACATTTGCCTTTTCGAAATAGAGAAATTCTGGCAAAATGTAACGAGTAAACTGTTAGTTGAAAATTAGCGAGTATGACTTAAGTGGAGATTAGTGTATTAAACAAGTAATATCACATTCCAAAACAATATTTAATGTCAAGTTAATTCCTACTAATTCCTCGATCTTGTACACTATAATTCCCCAGCGGTTTATCCCTCGGAACAAATGTTCGTTTTGTGTTGGCTCGTGCTTGTTGCAGGGAAGAGAGAAAGAGATAGACGCATACATATATCTTCTAAATTTACCGGTAGTTAAGGTTACACAAATTTTATTTAAAGTACTAGGCGAATAAAATTGAGATATTATATTATCTTCCAATTCAACTTTATAAATAAACATAAATAAATTCAAGAGCAATTTATTCTAAATTACTAGGCACACATGTTTAGTGTACATTAAGTGTAATAATATGCACTTTTTCGTTCAATTATACGTTTCACGTTGTCTGACGTTGAACGGAAAAAAGAACTTAATTCAAAGGCCCATTTTTGTAATATTTTTTTACGCACGCTCGTAAATTATGTAATTTACAAGCGAACGCTGAAGTTGTGCTTGTAGCAAAATTCCGAAGATTATGTTAATGGTTCTCGACAAAACACAAAATTACATCTAATAATACTTTTACTTTTATACGTTTACGGAGGAAGGATAATGGGATAGCGTGCGGTTGTGCGATCGAATTAAGTCAAATTACGGGAAACACGGGTTCGACGCGGATAGCAATTTCGTATTATAATATAAAAATATAATGATTATCGGTTTGGCAGGGCTTTGTAATACACAAAAAATACAGAGTGCTGTCGAAGCGATGACCTCGACAATTTAATTTAATCTGATCGCGTAGATGCTATCTCACCGCATCCATTAAGAACTTTGCAGTCTCCTGCCGAAGTCCTCTCTCTTCTCGGAGAGTATTCACAATTATTTCACAAAGATTTTCCTGTCTGAAAAGGAAGCGGAAGACGGGTAGAGACAGTACCGCGAACACGGGATCGGCGAACGCGCGCGCGTTCGTGAATCTTGTATTAAACTAATTCTTAAACCTCAAAGAATCAGAAGCCCGGCGCGCCGCGCCGGCTCTCGCCAGCTTGATATTCCCTCGTCATTCGAGAGCCCTTTTTTTGTCTCTTTTGTCGAGACCGGGGTCTAAATCTGCTTTACGAAGTTTCGTAATGTCGCTCGGCGGGAGAAGAACTTTCGTGTATCAAGCGTGCAAGCCGCAACCTTTTGCCCTTCTGACCTCGGATTTCCGCAGCGCATCGGGAAAGCTCCGCGTTAGCCGAAATCAGTCCCAACGTTTGTTAGCACTCGGAACTTCGTGCGGATGCAGATTGCGTCATTTCATCCCGGAGAGAAAGATCGAGGTCCGGAATCGCGCTGCTTATTAAACTTTGAAACTGCACACGAAACTCGGCGCGAAAAAATTTGCGGAGGGAGAAAGATTCTTCTGTTTTCTCGTCTCGATCTCGAAACAGATCGGTTCCACCTTTCTCGTTGAACGATTCCAATTACGTAGTTCGAATACGCCGAACGGATTAAATATTTAATAATCTCATGGAATATTTCAGATTAACCAGATCGGATCGCGTTGCACGGGGTGAGAGGAGAGAGAGAGAGAGCGTGGAATACCAATTCGACTTTGCATGCGTATTTTTGTAGAATTTCCGCGCGCCGAGGCGTCTTCGTAAATAAACACGAGAAGGAACGGCTCGAGACGGTGTCGATTGCAGTCGATGTTGCTCCGTTCGACTTCTCGGCGAGGTACTCTCTTATGACGGTCACGTGCGCCCTCGCTTTGTTCCTTCGAGAGGGTCCCGACAAGGCACCCGTTGGAGACGAGACGTCCTTCGGGATAGTTGAAGAGAGAAGACAGAGAGAGAGAGAGAGGGGGGGAGGAGAGAGCGGCTTTTGCACGTTCTATGATGGCATGGAGCAAGTGGCCGCGGCCACAGAGGCACCGTCGATATTGCGAGTTAAAACGCCGGATCACGAATAGCCGGGGCGAATTTAATCGCGGATCGCGCGCTCTTCAATTAGCACGCTTAATCGTGACCGCCCGTGCACTCGCGCTTTGTGGCACGCGGCAACGGAAAACTCGCGCGGAGCGCGGAATCCATTGCGTGTACGCGGCCACCATCGGCAGACATGTCGGCACCGCTGCCGTCCACCGCTCATCGTTCACTGCCGCGCGCGAGAAAGCCGGCGGCGGCCTCGCAATTAGCGCGCGGTTTCACGCCTAGAGATGAATGTCCGCGATATATTGACGTAACGGGAACATCGATACTTTCCAATCGACGAGAAAGTAACATGTAGTAGCACTTCGTGCCAAGAATGGACAATCGATCTGGAGATTTAGAATTTGCACGGTCCGATATTGTTCTACCGAACGTTCGGTATATTACTGTCCGTTAAGCATGCAAATAGATTGTTATTAAAGGTGCTGCCTTCGCGCCTGGGGATATGCTTAGTATAGCCGCATACTATCGGAATATTGATATTCAGTGTTGTTAACGACCGCTTCGATATTATCGGAGCATCAAAAGTATCGCTCGAGGCAGAAGCCGCAGAAGGCAGAAGCATGTAATACAAATCGTACCAACGAGATTGACTCCACGATTCAATATCGACATTAATGTTTAGAAGAGAGAATGCAATCCTTGATATTGAAAGTAAAATTGTAAAATGTATGTATGAATATCCCTTATGTTCCTTGGTATCGATTGCATTTCAATATTCGTATCGCTTATTAAAATGCCAAAAATTCAAGATACTTGATATTAATAAAAATTTTTAGAATCTTGTAACAAAGTAAAGCAAATTAATTAATTCGTTGCCGCGATGTTAAAAGGTGCATTGAGTTAAGAGATTTTTTTCGCGGGAATGCAAAAAGTACATAGAAAGAAAAGTAGCTTGGAATAGTTAATATAGTTATTATTCTTAGTAACTGACGACTAAAATCTTGAGTATTCCGAAGCGAGAAGCTGAGTCACGGAGGGTAAAACCGGAGGCTTATGTGCCCACCGCGTCGTTCTCCCGTTCTTAGCCGTGTTTCGGGATTTCGGGAAAATCTCATTAAAATTTACTGTTGTTTAAATTTCTCGCTGTCTCCACTATTTCTTCCTGGGGGCAAATGAAAAGGGCTGGCGCGCCTCGGCGTTACTTTCGACGTTACCCTCGATGACGCAAATAGTTCGCAATATCTCGCGATGCAGTCGCCATGGCGTCACGTATATGCGCGTTCAGGCGTCCGCGATTCATTTCGCTCGCGCCGGATGGATATTTCTTCAGTTCGTCAGACGTAATCCTGCCGCGCTCTCGTTTTCCTCTCCCTCCGTAAGAATTTTCAAGTTTCAGCCGCGGTACGTGCTTCTTGTAACAATCATACGATGCAGCTATATGCGTAGCGCAGAGGCTCCTTGTTCGCTTCGCACGCGTGATTCATTGTTCCCCGAGTGCGAGCGTGAGATTTGTAAAAGGGGTGCGTTATATTTTGCATAAAAGTGCGCGAAATTATTCAATGTCGGGATACCGCCACGCATCTCCCGATCCCGCGAATCCGAGTTGCCGCGAAAAATGCTTCATTTGCATATCCCTTGTTAGCTCTCTTGATAACGCATGACGGAAAAAAATCTTTCCTTCCTACACACGATCTTCATGACCCTGCGAGATTGCCAGATTGCTATATGAGTTTCACTACATTTCCGTTTATGTATTATGGTTCACTATGGCTTTATTAACTGTTAACAATAACCATAAGAAAACTCTAAAAAGTTTTTGATATTTATTGACGGAATTTATTACGTTTTGATATTTATTACGGAAAGGAATTTATCGACAAGACGGATTTTTCTTCTTATTTTATGTTTAAAAAAAATTAAAGTTGTTAACCAAGGAACGAAAGAAAAATGAAATCCTTTTCTAATTTTTCTGATTCTCTTTTACAAAAGTATTGATTTAAAAAAATCTTAATAAATAGAAAATAATCACATACATATTTTAAAATTTTCATCGTATTTGTTTCAATAAATGTCTACTTTATTCAAAGCCTTATAATTTAAAAACGGTATTTAACCTGACGGAACGGTATTTAACTTGACGGAACGGTATTTAATGCGCCTGGTAAATTGTCTGCGTTTCTCGAAGTGATTGTAAAACTCTTCAATCTTTTAGTCATGAAGGTTCAGTCGAAAACCCATGCGATCGTTACGCATTGTTGATCGTACACGCGTAAGGGAATTGCACGCATTGAACGAGAGCGGGAGAGATAACCGTAATTGCCATTTATGCCGCCGCAAGAAAGTATACGGTCCTTTGTTCTCATTCCGACGTCGCTTCCGCAGAATCACCCCGCCAAGCCGCTTTTACAAGCTTTACAAATTCGAATTTCCGACCCACAAAGGAACGTTTTACCGACGCATTTAACCTATTTCTGGGCGAGACGGTATTTCCAACATTCAAGCTTTTCTGAGCCGCACTGTCGACTGTCTTATCCGAGTGCGATTTTATGCTCTTGTGCTAACGAGATAAATGTTCAAAAGCGCGAACGCGAATTGCTCGAGGCGAATGCAATCCCTCGAAAGAGTAAAAAAAATATATATATCGCGTATACATCGTGCGTGCAGTATTTGACGTCGCTTTCATCGCTTCGCCCCTTTTTCTCTTTGAAAACATCCAATTTTCACTCGTAAATTCGAGAATTGAATTTCCGACGAAAAACCGCTCGGTTCTAATTATGAATTATAACGCTCGTATGGCTCGCTCGACGAATCATTGTTTTTAATATTCGTGCGGTACACACATCGAGGGATGTACCGTGCCGGCCCGTACCATCGTATACGTATATACACATCCATAATTAATTCGTCAATAATATCTCATTCGACCGCGCGCACACACGCGCATTCGGTATTGCTACATTTTGCCGCAACGTGGTTCCCCGCCACGTTCCAAAAACGCAGAAACTGCGTTCGGTACTGGAACAAAAACGCTCCAAGTTCTTATCTCGTCGCAGCGGAGAATTATTCCATTTGTATACGTCCGGTTGATTACGACTTTGTCAGCCGTGAGTTATAACGCTTGAAAAATTCCTTTATAATGGAACAATAGCTTTTCGCGAGACGAACGAATCGGACGTCTTCGATTTGGACAATTAGAAATCCATACGTGTTCTTTTCGCGACCTCGGAGTATATAGTTCGAACGACGCTGTATAGATACTACATATAAAGATCTTGTGGAAGTCGGTTATATTCCGTAGCAGAAGTAACAGAAATCTTTTATTCGGGATTTATTCCTCAGATTTATTCCTCGAAAGAACGCGATCTTATTCGCCGCTCGAGTGTACGCGGCGGACACACGTAACAATGTTTCGTAAGCGCCTCGCTGCGCATTCGCCGCTTTCATACCGGATGTTACGGAAGTGGAAATCCCATACATCCTATGGACTCGCGGATCGCGATTCCTCGGCGACGCGCAATTGAATCGTACTTTATGCACTCGCTCCTTGTTCCGCGTCGCTCGCCTCGTAAAATTAATCGCCCTCCGTACCTACGGCGGCTCGCTGCGCTTTTTACGATATTCACGGAGGAAAATAGGAAAGCAACACAACAATGATTGCGCGCGGCGACGTGGGAAAAAGAGAGGGTGAATAAAATACTGTTTCCAGACGATAAGGATAAAAATGGACCCGACCGCTCGTGGTACAACAGAGATTAATTATCAGATCCTGAAAGCTTTTACCGAGGAACGTCGAGGTTGCGTAATGAAGGAATCAGGGTGTATTTCCATCAGGCTTGTTTAATTCTCAAGAATATAAATGACTTTGATGCGCGAATAATGAGGTACAAAATACAGCACGCTCGGAGTAAAGAAGACTATAAGTTTAACGACGGGTATTATCGTCATCCTCGTTGCCAAAATGTTCTCGAGTAAAACTTCAGCAAAATGGACAACGAGAAATTTTAATATTTAATTATAATATTCTTAAAGTTTCGTTCATGATGAATCTTTGTTTTGCGGCTCTCTTTGTAATGCGAAAACGATTTCTTGATATATTTTCATTCGGACAGATTGATTCCGGAGACCAACAAAGAACCTCTCTTTTCAATTAAGATTGAAGATGAATTAAATTACACGATAATAGCTATGTTTATAACCTTTTAAACGAATATTTGTTCAATTAATTGCCGCACGTTTATTTCACGTGATACTGAAAACGTGAAAATTTGTGTGAGGTCTGTCTATCTGTTTCTGTAGCGTATAAAATCGTACTTTTAATCCGTGATATACAACGCTTTAGATTAGATTAATCCGCCGCGATCGCTATTAACATTTCGGAGTGTTTATAACGCCCGACGAACCGTGATAATCCGCCGGGTGAGCCATATATGTAAAGTTTTAAAACGTACTCGCCCTCGTTATCGCCCGGCGATACGAATCACCCGTTCCGGCGCGGCGTAGCCGCAAAACTCTCTTTCGCTTCCGTTCCGATTTCGTTGGGCGCAAGATCGCAAGATCGTGTACATTATCCTCACGCGCACGTAGTGCCGCTAGGAATGGGATCGAGTCAATTAAAATTACTTACGAGGTCGCGAGCTCGTTATCGACGTTTTGCGACTTGAGTCGTTATCGCATCTAACTTTTCGAATATCTACTTACCTCCTGCAGAGGAAATGGCGTTACTTTTTTAATTTTTCGCGTCCAATCGCGGCACGACATCAAGAGCTACTTTTTCTAGATCAGTTTTCGCACCGCTTATTGTGCCGAGATCTTCTCGGCGCGCCTCTATAATTCGTATATAATAAAATTGATTTTATAATTGTGACTTTTTCCGTAAGAAACGCGGCGTGCTTCGCGCGCCTCGTCAAAACTACCTGCGAAGGGCTTGATCCCATCTCTACTGTCCGATCGCAATTGCGCGCGCGCATACACATACCTACGTTCACCGAGCACGATGGCACGTGCTTGGTGAACTCCAGAAGCATGTATACATGCCGCGGCCACCGCGGTCCGCGCGAATTCCGCTCGCAGTTGCATTTCGCGCGTCGGTGCAAGCGGGCGCCCACGCTCGCCCACGCTCGCCCGAGTTATTGTTATAAGTTATAACCCGGCCTACCGTTCCCTGCGCTCGCCGTTTGTCTTGGCGTTGTCGAATTTATTACACGGCCGGGGCGCGCGTCAGCGTTAAAAATTACTCGCGCGTTCGCCTTGCTCGGAGAGTGGTATGAATGCAATTTCGAAAATTCTGTTAAACTCGACGTCAATAATCGTTTGCATCTTATTGAGCGCCGTACTTGAAAGTCGTACCTGGAACATTGCTTTCTCGGGCAAAATAAGCTGCTTGGCTTCTTTCTAAAAAAAAATCTGCAAAATATCAAGCACAGATTTATACAGTACTATATTTTATATTTTTGTTAGCGTATTTTTATTATTTTTATTTTTTAATATACAATATAATCTGAGAAATTGAGTGAAATGGTACTTCCAAATTGTTACGTATGAGTATCTTAAAAGTTTCTTTTGCAAAAAAATCTTCAACTAGGCTACGTATAATTCTTGATATTACGTATCTTCGACACGTCTTTTTTGATGAATCATTAATATTGTTCAATGAAAAAAAAAAAGAACTCGAGAAACAAGGTAAGATATTAAGTCAATGTTTGTGCAAGGAACATTCATTTTTCCTTTCTACAGAAAGATTTGCTGGTAGACTTTTGCGTGTATGCATTTTTTCCCCCGAGTCGGCGCACCCTCCCTAGAGATATCACGTGCGCGTAGAGACTAGAGACGTGAGAGATAGTGGAGAAAAGAATAAATTCTTCTAAGCACACAGAGTGCTTGCGAATTTTTCTATCTCGTAACGGGAGTTTGCAGTATGGCCTGAATCCATTCATGTTAACGTGCCATATATATGCTAACGCGTTATAAATATTCAAAATGTGTCCATAATACAATACGGCTAATACAGTGCGAGGAAGGTACAATACTTTGGCAAGTCCACAGTGCGTGCTAATCATGGTTGTCAGTAACGAAATATAAATTTAAGTCCGGAAAACTGCTGAGATCGGCGATTTTCGGCGTCCATTTCTCTTTGTTACCCCAATCGATTTGTTATGCAAATTATAGCGATCGAATCATGATGAGAAGGATATACAAGTTTCGGAAGACTGTCACAGACTATCCTTATAAAACATGCATTATGAGTGGAACGATCGATGATGCTATGAATGTTGCAAACGGGACAAAAGTGCTTTTGATCGATACGTTCGTGAATTATTTCCACGTGCCTTCGAGAGGCCTTCCACGGCGGAAAGTTTCGGAAACGTCGAGCAAGAGTGAACGGCACCGCCGCAGAATGCAGAGCAGATGAGTACACTTTTGATAGATTAGTATATATATACGAATTAGCAATTCTAAGCACTATAATAACGGAATCTTTTGAAAATGTAACGCGCGATACGGGGTTGACTCGTGCGCTTGCTTTCGGATGTAAAAAGATGTTTGTTCGAGAAATCGTTAGTACGGAGAAGGAATGGCAACAGAGAGGAAAATGGTTATGACGAATAGCTTGTTGCATGTAACTCTCTGAATCTGGTAAACTGACGCGTTCTGTTTTTATTTGATATTAATCTTTGAATTGTTTTTCGATGTTGAATGTCAACTCGCTCGTTGAAGCTATTGAAATATTTTGAGAAAACAGCGGAACCGCTGCACAAACAGTTTGAAAATTTATTTCTAAATAGGTATAAAGTAATGAAATTAGTGAGAGAGAGATTTATGAAATTACGACGCAAATTATTCATCATGATTCGTTGATATCCCTTTTTGTTGATACTCCTCTCGTGCGGTTGCATTAAGTAGTGTTGTATAATGATGATCTTATTGCATATATAATACAAAGTGCATGTGTGTATTACGAATAACGGCATTACGCGTTATATTTTTGAAAGATATCTAGGTATATAATGAAGATATTTACCTTGGATGTTATTAAAATGGTTTCTCAATATTTATAATTTGGCACAGCTGCGTAGCTGTATAATTAACAAATTATCTCTTTGACGATCGACGGTTAACGCGGACATTTCGTTAATTTGTGAGTGGTGTTTTGATGAATAGTCTACGCTGTACATTTCCCTTTTCGCTATTATAAATAAAATTATGCAGAAAGTGGTAAATGCGTGGATGTAAGTTAATAATATTAGTAAGTCTCAAATTTGTGCAATTATTATTTGATCTTTTGTTCTTCATACGCAAATTATAAAATTCTGTAAAAAGGCATAATGGCATAAAGGCATAAGGTTATTATGAACTATATATGTATATTTTATCATTAAAATGGTTAATATATATAAAAATATATATTAAGTACAAAATAGCATACAGGAATTGAACGTAAAGATATTATAGGATAAAGTAAATTGTTTTTGTATATTTAAAAATGAACTATATTAAAGAGGCTTGCTCTGAATCAAATTCAAAGAATAATATAAAATAATCGCACAATTAATATATACAAGCAGTTATAATTTAAGTTATAATTTTTTGTATATATTGTGCGCGTTTGCATATGTGTGATAGAAATTTTATCAGATGAAACGAATATCGCGCCTTATTCTGAAAAAAATTTACTAAAGAGATCGTTCGCCTCGATATTTTTCGCTTTAATTTCCAGTATTCTCACCTCTCATGAAATCTCAGTAGGTAATTATAATTTTAGCGTGCTGATTATTATCATTTTTTTATTCCGCTTCGTTAGTCGCTAATTGAGCGTTGCCCCGGCATGCAAAATAGCATCACAATACATTCCACGATCTCGCCGCGCGGTACGAATATGCATCTCATGCCACGCCTGTTTTATGACGCGCGGACGCTGCAACAAAAGAGAGTGTAAATGAGAACTTACAAGTGACGGTGGGCTGATTTATTGCCGAATTGACTATTCATTTTCTTCACCTCCGGTGTGAGAAGTCACGCGGTCATTAGCCCGCGCCCGGTGCAGAAACCCCGTCGTTTGAATTAAGAGAATGAGAGAGAAAAAAAAAGAACAGAAAGGTTGCTCCCGTCGGTCGTCAAAGAGTCAGCGGCGGATTCGTAATCTAGAGAGATCTGTGAAGTCCGATCCAGCTGGACTCCTCTCTTATTCAAGCCGTATTAGAATTGTACTTGGAACGGAGCTTGAAAAAATCCCGGGACAAAATTAACTAACCAGACCTAAATGTTGGTGATTCTTCTTATGAGATGAGATGTCTTATCTTGTATGCATGAAAAAGAAAGTTGCTCCTTAAAACAGTAAAAAACTTTACGATCTCTTCTTCGCGATTTACTCATATTGTTCGAGGACTAATGAATGTTACAGAACTTATTATCGAAATGTAGACGTAGCCAGGAAAAAAAGAAGTACAAGATGTATTTGCATTTAGCTAACTTCATAATTTTACGATTTATTACTAATATGTAGATAAAGAATAAAATAAAATGTCGCATATTTATATGTATATTTCGGATATTTCTGTGACATCCTGTTTTATTTAGTTTATTATGTAACGTCTAGGTTAATCTTTGATTAACTTAAACTTAATATTTCATTATCAAAATTTTGATTTTGTTAATGTTATTTAATTTAAAATTAAATATTCTGGTATTTTTAAATTAAAATTTTGTGAAAATTCAAAGTGCACTTAAAATTAAATAAAGAGAATAAAGTTTTTTATTTATAACTTAAACATTAATAAAATTTTTATTCTTATAATATATATTATATAAATCGAATAAGAGATCAGAACTCCAAAAATAATTTTTAGAGATCGAAATATCCCGCATATACATATTTACTTACAATAATAAATTAAAAAATTATACTGATTATTATATAAATATAAAAAACCTTTTTAACATGAAATTATTTTCAGTATATTAATAACGTAAAATCCTGGCGATTTAATTTCAAACTCAATTCCTGGCTACGTTTCTCTCGATTGTCAAAATTATCGTTTCGATTATAATGATCCTCCGATGCACGATTTTGGCTTCATACAAAAATTACGTATGAAACATAATTTAATCTGATAAATTAAATTTGGCTACAGAAGCAAGCCGATATTTGTGTGTCTGTGTAAAAAGCTTGCGACCCGAAAATTTCTACTGGTGATTAACTTGAGAGTGTATCAGAGGATTAAAGAAGTGCATCTCTTGCCGAATTCCTCTCGACGAACACCGACGCGCGCGACCCAAGGGGAGCACAAATCAACCGTCGAGCACGAAAAACGCGAGTTCCAGGAATGAGAGAGAACGGCCGTACAAAAGGGATTAATTGGCACTAGGCCGTGGATACGGATCATCGTGTACGCGCCGCGAGTGTCGCGGTTGCTCGCTCGCGCGCGAGCGGCGGCGGCGCGAGTCATCGATTGACGACCGTAAAAGCGAACGGCACTTGGCACGGGAATCTCTCGATGTTTAATTCTCGTTATCCGTCCTTTCATCTACTCCCGTTTCATGCCTCGCTCCTGTCTCTTTGCTTTTCATTTCTGCGGCAGCGATCGCATTAACTGCCGTTCAGCGGTGGATTTAAGCTTAAACCCGTGAGGCGTACAACCGATGGCATCATCCGATTAAGACAGCGCACCTATCTTTCTCGATCACAACGTGAAAAAAGATAGAAGAAAAAAAACTCTGAAATAACCGAAAACAAATTTGAAAACGGTTAAATCAAAACGCGAACCTTATTTTGATGAAAACACGATGCATTATTCACTCGAATTGTTCTTGTGATAATTTAGAACGTTTATTTTGAAGACATATTGGAATATTGAAGCGATACATTTTAACGAACTTTATGCGCTTCTTCTTGAATAAAATCTGTTGCTTTAATTTTGTATGTGACGAGTAAATCGAATCCGAGTGATTATTCGAAGACTTGTTACAAGCGGACGTCATTAGAGTTTCGAATTCGACGGTGCGTAAATGGGTGCATAAATCCGCTGCTGATTTTTTTAATCCTGTCCTCGCGATTGTGTGTAATATTGCTCGCGCACACACTGTCACGCGCGGACGCATAATCCAAGAATCCCGGGGTCCTTCACCGCGACAAATTTTCTCTCCCCGTTGAATCGCGCGCGACCGTCTTCGTCGTCTTGGAGGAGAGAGATATTCGGCGGAGAGATATGCTCGGATCACGGCGCGCCCTTTGTGAGAACGAAAGATCGTCCCGATCGTCGACGTAATACCCTCCCGCCGCGCGCCGCGAAGAGCGACGTGAGGTCGAGGCCGACGCGCTCTGATAATAAATGATGTTTTATCTGTCGTGCGGATGCCCGGCGGATATAGCATAGCCCGACGGAGGGAGGGAAGAGGAGGGAGAGAATTGTAATGCGACGAGGCGTCAATCTGCTTTTTCGTTCGCGCAGGGTGCGACAAATCATGTCGAGGCCGCACCGCACCGTCTCGCCGCTAACACGAGTACAGAGGAAGGTAAATCCCCGCGATATCCTCGCGAGAATCGTTTTACGCATTCGCACGTATATATACACGGTGCTTCAGAAAAGTGTTAACACTTATATGGAAGTAACTTTTTTAGTGAGAAAGAACTGATAACGCACAAGATATAGTAATAAATGATTTTGTCTTCGAAGAGTCTCCACTTGTTCACCAACATTGTCAATACATTCTTGGAGTTTTCTCCAAGTGGTCTCCAGTGCCCTGAGGCACTTCCATATAAGTATTAATATTTTTATGAAGCTCCCTGTAAGGGATGCTTCACTGCCTCTGGATGGAATCTTTGTGTGTTATTCGGATTAGATGCTTCTACGAAAATCTCCTCTGACACCATATTTTTTTCACGCCTCTGTTACATTTTTGGGCGTCAGATAGCTTGATAAGCTAGCCGTGAATGAAGAAGTAATCGAAAGTAAAGTCTACTTGAAATTTAGTAAACAATAAGATTGTCTATCTATTCGAACCGGGAAGATTGATAAGATTTTGAACAACGATTTATCGGCTATAATGAGTTGTTAATACCTTTTGGCGTTCCTGTTAAAGAGAAAATGACCCCACATTGATCAAAGATTCCATAAATATAGCTTGTGTGCAACACATCCGTCTGATGATAATATTGCTCTATCATATTATGATCACGATATGGCAGGGTCGGATAAATGGGCTCGTAGATTGAGTCGGATTAGAGATGAAAGCAGAGAAAGTTCAACGATCGGGTAGAAGTAACGGTGTCTTCTGTCGACCAGATTTAATACACGAACAAATTAATAAATAAATTATGAAAAGGACTCGACGGACGTAAGATTTTGATCTAAAATCCGATTTAATCTTGTTGTGCAAAGCAAACAAAAATAATACAAATGCAAATCTACCAAAAAACATATGCGTTTCGGTATTATTAATAGCATTTATCAAATAGCACAATGAAAATATCACTGCTTGTGTGGCAGAGGAGATACCTATTTTTCCGAGATATATATAGTCGACGTCGAATGGTCGAGTGGAATGTCCTTTTTGCTATCGTTGAGCGATATCGACAAGCGATCCTCTCGGAACTTACGAGCACTCAGCCCAATAAAAACGCGAGCCATTCCCTTTTTTTTTTTTTCGAGGGAGGATATAACACCAGTGGACGATGTTTTTCCCCATCTCCCGTCGCTGCTGTTAATTCGCCAATCGCTGAAAGCGAGCATCATAATTTCCGTTACCGTGCGCTCCGCCCGAAGCGATATTTCTTCCGCGTTTCCTTTGTCCGCTGTAGCGCGTGCGACAAAGGACGCGATAATTGCAAAGCCCTGTATGCGGTACGACCGATCGTTTTCGCGTGTGTTTCGCGAATAAACGACAATGCGCGGAGTTGCGGTGGATATTGTGTTGCGGAGCGCCGCTTAATTTCTGCGGCAACGTAAACGACTGGCGCGCTCTTATTTTCCGGGTTGAATGCGGCGAGTTTAATTCCCGATCGGTGGGGAAAAATGGTGTCTGCCTTACGCGCTATCTACGCGGCGTTTCCGTTACCGCGAGTCATATAGTCATAGGTGAAGTTTGGTTTCAGAGGTATTCGAAGTCACTCGGACCCTTAAATCTTACTTATTTATTCGAAGATTGATATAGGATATAAATTAAGAACGAGAGGTTTGTAGAATAATCCTCGCTCAATGTAAAATTGTCCATAAAATATTCGTACATCGTTAAGATATCAGTTGTTGTTGGATCTCGATGTTTCAAGTTTCAACAAGTAGCTAATTCTCCGCCCTTTCAAATTTGTCGTTCTTGCCGGACTTGTTGCCAGACGTTGCGGGACGATTCAGCAAACTGGCAAGAAGTTACACATCAGATATGATTACGGATCTAGAACCGCAAATTAAACACTGATTAGTTCAGCGATAGAGTTGCGCCCCGCTAGCTAGCAAATGCTCGCACAACGGTCACGTGTTCCCCTACAACTAGTTACACCAACTCTCCTGGTTAGTTAACTCTTCTTGCTGTTCGGAGCAATCGCAAGGGATATTGTCGGTGGCGCGAGATAAGGCGATTACAGTATAGAAGGATCTAAAGAACCAAGTGTCGCCATTGAAGGGAGAAAGAACATAGTTAGAAAGCACGGGGCAGTTGTTGCGAGTTTACTTGTTTGTTTGCTCGAAACTGTACTTCCTCTGTAAGCAAGCGCGGTATCTCCGGAATAAATAAACAAAAATACCAGCCGGCTAATGGAAATATCTGATTCTTTCGCGATTTTATCGAAGTTCCCGGTGTACCGGACGTTTTGTAGGAAGTTCGGGTTTCGTTGCAGATTCAAGAGCCTGATCTTTAATTGAAGTATCCGATTCTCGGTTATTTCGTGCGCGAAGCGCGAGAGTTCAACGCGGGCGGGCTTCGCGCTATTAATTAACCAAGATCACGATCGGTATCGCGAAATACAGCGGGGCTTTATTCCGACGAGTCAATTCATCCGCATGTTTGTCTTTGTGTATAATTAATTCTTCCTCGTGTGCATTGGTTTTTTACTTCTTTTCTGTGCCTTCTCTTTCCCCCCCTTCCTGTTTATAAGAGGACTGACCGGCAACACACGCGAACGAGCAATTTGCGCGTTAGGCCGCGCCTCTACCACGTTCTGCCTAATAACCCGTTAATATGCCCCTCGCAATCAGGCATCGGTCCATATTAAACGTACTGCGAGCCATCGAAATGACTCGGTAAATTATCCACAGGGCCCTTGCTCGCGCCGCCGGCCAACAATTCGCGCACCCTGCTAATTACGACGAGCGTGCACGCACGGGACGATTAATTAGACAAATTAATTTAGTAAACTGTTAAGAGCGATCGCGCGACGATCTAACTGATCGGCACGTTGCGGGAAATATCATCTACCAATATCATCTATCATAACGCATTAATTGATGAAACCGGTATTAAGTTCTGCGAATTGACAAATATGTTTGTCAATCGATTATTGTGGAAGCGAGAGAACGCGATAGCAATAAACGATAACAGCGAGACAGAATCGCATGACTTCTTTTCTTTTTGCCGAAATCAAATTAATATTCGTATTTTAAGGAGGTTCTACAGATAATGGATGTATCTAAAAATTGGAAAAAACTTTATGGACGTGTAAATTGAGATGCAAGAAAAGTGCTCGAAAAATTTTAGCATCGGTTTACCGTGTAAAAATTTGCAAAAATGAATTTTGAAATCACAGTTTTTAACATAAACTACATATGGCAGAGGGGCTCTTGGAGACAGGAAACGAGATATTAATTATATAAAGGCGACCCACCAAAGCTCAAAAAACGGAGCTCTTATAGATCTTAATCTAAGCTTTTCAGAAATATCGAGAAAAACAAGGGTTATCGCGTAAAATTTTGTGATATTGGCTATTGAAACAGGCCATATCACAGTTCACGTAGCGTGCTTCGAATAACAAGGGAGATTTGGCAATGTCGCAGCGACTGCACCCGCGCGAAAAGTGTACAGCCAGTACAGCACCACAGTATGACAGCACCTCAAACTTAAGCACCTAACGTTTACGAGCGCTTACGGAGAATACTCGCTCTAGAATTATGTGAAATTGTGAAATAACCGTGGTCATATGAGCAGAACTGTCAAGTTCGCGACGTTACCACATTTTCTTCCATTATAAGCCGCCAGAGTCAAAGGAGCACTTACACGATATTTTTAATTATTCCTCGCTTCGACTAATATGGGTATGATATAAGCTCTAACGTCATCAAAATTCACGAAAATATTTTATGAATACTTAGAACCGATGAATTTGAAGATTTTCTCTTCATCTCTCAACTGACTAGAGAGTATCTGTAGAACCTCCTTAATGATTCGATAATGCCTATTTATTTTATTATTGGAAACAGCGGGGGGGGGGGGGGCGACGTCACGTTTATCCCGGTATCACAATGATCTTGACTAACCCTACACCCCGAAAGTGTATGTATATGTATATAACCGGAGGTCGATATTATGACAAGGTATTATTGACTTCTGTTGATTGTACACAAGCAGAGTATTAATTGGCCGAGACTCGAACACAGCCTAAATGGCAAGCCGAAATGTATTACCGCATCGTAATGAAAATTGGCCGTTGCGTGGATCGCAACGTGTGGTCACCTTCGATAGGATCACGGGATTTGTTAACAATGTTCTGGTATTGTCCTGCAAATTACTGTCCCTGCTAATACCTCGTTGATTCGTTCGCCGACCAAGTTGACAGAGCGCAAATTAATTTTTCTTAATTATTTTTCGAAAATTAGGCTTCTCTCTCTCTTTTTCGCTCTTAAGGAAATAAACTAATTGTGTAACATATTTTGTAATTGTGTGTAAACATCTTTCGTCGGTTCATCTTCAACTTGACTTTTCAGTGAAAATACCGACTATAATAAGTGAGTAAAAGTAAATGCTTGATATCCATTTGTTCGATCAGTTAGGATAGGACATAAATTTTTTCTCGTAAAATCATATATGTAAAAAAAGACGCTGCAGTAAAGTAACTTAATTTTCTTACAGTAAGTAAAGTTATAATTTTATTTCCCCGATATATATCGGAATGTAATTTGCGCCAGCATTTTGCGTTAGGTCTCACAGATCCGTTTACACAGGTTTTCAACCTGTGGCATCGCGACTAGTTTGAAGAAATTGCGAACAGTAGCACGATGTTTTTTACGTTGCTTTTTCGAGGCTCGACGCATATATTCGCCTACGTGTGTACGTGTGGCGAAACAATGGACAACGCGCGCCGTATAGGCCGTATAGGCCGTACCGGCGAAAAGCCAATCGCACCGGTCCCATTGTTTCAGCCCGCGTTCGCAGGTACGAAGCAGGTACATATGCTACTGTTCGATCGCCTGGTATTTGTAAAAGGGTTAACATCGGGTTAGGGCGGACCCGCCGATTGTTTGTCCGCTCATTTAACGGTTGGGAAGGCTTGGGGCGCGAAACCAGACGAGACGTGACTGCTCGTAAAG